AGTATTTATTTTCCGAGTCTGCAACTGATTACTACAACTTAAATTCCCTTGACCGGATACTTTACAGCTGTGCGTAGTGTGGTTCTCTTAGATAACCGGCCCTAAAAATTTGAATTACTGTATTTACGCGAGTAATAGCCGCACTGTTTATGTACAAGGCCCTTGAGTCTACTTTCCTCAGAACACATACATCCAATCATTGCGTTGCGCGTAAATAACATAGCGAATAAACCAGATCGAGAACACGATTCTCCATCCAATTGCAATCTTCACAGATGGCATCTTTGCACGAAGACGTTATCTTTGTCCTGTAAACAGCTGGAATCATGCTGTCGATCGCAGTGATTGGCAATCTGCGTGCTCAGTGGAAAAGTGAACAGTCAGGTCTTCTCCATAAACAGTGCGGCTATTACTCGAGTAAATACGGTCGAGACTTACAGCGAAGTCAAAACTGCAGGGTTGGTGGATGTGACGTCAGACCCGCTCAGTTTCTCTCTACTGCACAAAATTGAGCAGTTGTGCATTAACCAGTGCATTCAGGGAGGTTCGTCGGCTCAACTAGTAGTGGAAGAGCATGAATTGCACGAAAACGATGAAAGTTTTCGAGTGTCTTCACGAATCAAACTTTGAGGGGGCTATTTAAAGCAATGCTGCATGGTCTGAAGACTATTCTTTCAAACTGCCTGGATGGGCAACATGTGACAAGGTGGTACACGTTTCGGGTTTAGAGCTCAGTCTGCTCACGCGCTGTAACTCTTAGACGATTTCCCTTTCAAGGTCAACATCACAGTGGCGTCGAAGTAGGAGCAATTTTGTGCACCTCTCTGCACACCGTGAAGACCGGGAGAAAAAGGTGGAGAGGATCGATCTCCATTCACCCCTGTCTAGATAGACTCCATCTCTTGATGTAAATATTGGAATACTTAAATTTTTTTTGGGGGGGGGGAAGTTGCCTTTTGTGGCCAACATGAGTGATCATCTAGGCTGTTGAGAAAAGTTACTTGAGTGTCGAACGACGAACGACGAAAATAATCCCTGGAGAAGGGGAACGAGAGGGACAAATTGCATTTAATTGCATTATAATCATTACTTGAGTGTGCAGTGACTCTTGCTACTTCCAAAGCATGTTATTCAGTTTCTTGAATCTTCTCAGCTGTGTTATCGCCACTGATCTCAATGAAAATTGCTGGATCGCGTTTGCCCACTCTGCGAATGCGGTCACTGGCGGCCATCTTTAGGTAGAGTTATATTACCTCTAGCCAAGGTACAGCTCCTGCAGCTACTGTAATCCATCCATGGCAGACGGCGTTTTGGCAGGTGTGGTGGCAGGCTGCCGTCAAAATAGGGTGGATGATATTTCGCGCTTGATTGAAATTTTTTGAAGAAACATGTTTTTGAAACCCAGCGTGAACGGTAGCCCGATCTTTGAGGACCCGGTGGAAGTTTCACGAAATCGCAGCACCGGGGGAAAAGCAGCACAGCTCGCATCGAAAGTCGCATCAAAAGCAGACGCCTTTACGGAGTCTGCTTTCGATGCGAGCTGCGCTGCTTTCCCCCGGTGCTGCGCTTTCGTAGAACTTTCTCCAGGTCCTCAAAGATGACGCTACCGTTCACGCCGGTTTCAAGAGTCTGCGTCGTCGAACAACTTGAATTAAGCACGAAATATCTCCCACGGTACAGTGTACTAGATCCACGGCTATATTATGGCACCCGGCCGCCATTGCGCTGTCCGCCATATTACTATGATGGCTAGAGATGATATAACTCTACCTAAAGATAGCCGCCGGTGACTGCATTCCGGTCCATAGGAGGAGCTGGTCAAACGCGATCCAGCAAATAGACATGGAGATCGGTGGTTATCGGTGAGTGTGCATGGCATTTGGCCTATTGCCAAGACTTGCTTGCACACCTAACACGAGGTGTTTGGAGTTTACAACCCCAATCCACCTGCAAAACAGGTCACTTAGTGGTTAAGCTGCTGTGGTTTCACAAAAAATAATTTTTTGTGGTGTTCAGAAGCAACTTTATCTAAATTATTTTTTTTCGTACAAATCCCAGACATGAAAAAATTGCCACGTCTCCTTTGGCATGAAATGACCCTAATGAGAACCTTCCCCGTGATGCAAGGATGGATGACTCCTGTACAGAAATCGGTTCATGGCTTGTAGGTGTTTTAAGTCTGTGTCATATCAGTAGTTGGAGTGGTCTTTGCACTCCTGGTGGTTGGTGGCTTGCTTTTTGGTGTTGTCCAGTCCTCGGGCTTCCATGGAATCTGTTCTTTTGCTTGTTCAACAGAGCTTGTGTCTGTCTTGAAAAGAAGCATCAGATTGTCGGCCAATGTTTTCCTAGGAGACAGCTTCCAAGTCCTTTAGCAAAACGTTTGCTGCCATTCTGCTTTCCGTTGTGTTTTTTGTTTAGTTCTTCTGAGCAGGCTTCTATTATCTACTTGTTAGAAACTACTCGTTGCAGATGTTGAAAAGCATGCTGTTCCATGTTCAGAAGTTTAGGTGTTAAAGAGTTAGTGGCAAAGTGGGCGAGTTGGTTCACATTTATATAATATATAAAAAAACAGGCAAAACAAGGAAGACACGAGAGAAGTACACATGACAAGTGCTGTGTACTTTTCTCTTGCTTCATCTTTTTGCACGCTGTTTCATACATTGCTACCTGGTGCAGCTACTGAACAGCCACCGAACATCCCCAATATGGTGCATGCTCTAGCGTCCACTCAACTGAAAGAATCAAGCCGATCCAACGCTTTCATAGGCCGACGTTGGGCGTGTTGTGAGTAAGGGGAAAAACACTTGTACCATATAAGAAAGTGCATGCGAGCTCCGAATGTTTGGTGGTTTTCACCTTGTCCGAGGCTAAGGCGCTCTATGTTGCGATTGAGTTTGGCTGCTCATCGCACAGATGGTTACAAGGATGCGATGATGCTGAGCTCTGACTTTAGAACTTGATCTGGGTGGGTGCAACGGGCTGGGGCGCTGTGGAGGGGGTAAACGAGTGGCAGCGTCTGCTTGGCGTCGAAATGGCTGCCTTGCCTTTTCTGCGGCTGTTGCAAAATCTTCCAGTTCTTAACGGGAAAATGGGGCGGTTCTGCATTTGAGAAAAAACACTTCAATTGTGTTCATTTGGCCGTTAGAATAACAGATATCACAATTATATTTCATTACGACGCACCGGAGAGCTATAAGAGCAGTTTCAAAATAGGGCTGAAGCCCCGCCCCATTTTCCCGTTCTTTCGCGTTTCACAGATCTTTTGGGCAGCCAAAAGATCTGTCGATGACGTCTTGGACAGCGACTGTCTTTCGCGTTTTCTCGCGTTTACCAATTCTTGCGCAGCAAATGGTTTGGGTATTCGGGTGCATAAGGTAAAAATCCACTAGAATTCACTTCTAACTTGTTTTCTTCAAGAAGCTCCGTAGCTTCCCTTTAATGAATGGAGATGAGTCGATCGAAAGAAAAGGGGAGGAAATACTTCGATGGGTACACTCTTTCGTTTGATGCGACACAATTTGCACCAAGAGTTCACATACGAGCTGAGAGTCTCGGCGTTGGATAGATTGTTTCCACAGAATGGAACGCTAACTGTCAAGCTGGAGCTTAGATGAGTGTACAGTCACTTGTTTCGTGTGCAAGTTACTTGTTTCGGTCGACTTGTGTTTTATGTCAGCTGGCTCATTGCTAGCTGACATAGCTATCCCATAATCTAGTCTTTGAAGAGAATATGCCAACTTGTTTGCTTGTAGGCAGATCCTGCAAGGCGTGCACAGCCGTTTAGATCTTGCCATTTTAAAACTAACTAAAAAAATAATAAAAGCTTGAGGGTGTCATTATTCTGGGGACATTTGTTAGCTCTAGGTTTGCCTCAAAGGCCAAGATGCGCTTTACACTTTTCCGCTTGTGCTTGCTGCTTCCCTTTTCTTCCTTCGCTACCCTCAAGTTGATAAAATGGGGTTACTAAAGCAGTTCTTGCCTTGCACGAGACAATTTTTACATTGGCATTTAAAGGGGTAGTGCAGCCTAGGCATTCGAGCAAGTGGCCTTACCTTGGGGTGCGTCTTGAACGTACTACCACTAAAAGCCCCTCGATAAAGCCGTTTTTTTACAGGTACCGCCAACCAGTGTTGTGGAAACGCGTGAGAAGCACATAGAGGGGCTTTAACTAGCAGTGATTACTCTTGGTGGTCTAGTTTTGCTCTTTTTAGCCTTGGTGTTAATTCTATAGGGCAGGGGTTGGCAACCCGTGGCCTGCAAGGCACTTTAGTGCGGTCCCTGGCACGACACCAGAATAGCTTCCCCCCCCCCCCCCCCCCCCCCTGAATTTGAGTGTAAAATACTTGGGGGTCTTTCTGTCTAGCGATTTAACGAGGACATGTGAAAAACTCAAAGCTGAACACATGCTTAGTTTTGTTTGACGAAATTTTCGACAGGGTTTTAGCAAAATTAAAGAAACTTTGTACTTTACGTTTATTCGCCCCTGTATTTAATATGCAACCTCTGCAAAAGTTGCCAACCCCTGCTATAGGGTGTTACGAATTTAGGGACTCGGTATAAAAAGCTGCGTATGCTTGTAACTGGCTGAAACTTTCACCGAGGATGGATTTTACATAGAAGCATTGGTCCATTCCTGTAAAAACTTAGAACGACTCCCTTGACATCTTCAATGGCTGGTTTTGATGAGGATGACAGAGTTTACCTAGGGTTGTGCCTGTGGTGCCCTTCACTGATTGGGGCAGAAAGCAAGCAGACGCCATCGTCTCCACCCTGCGCCCATTGGGTTCAATGAAGTTGTATCTTCCTTTCATCTTTGTTTGAAACTATTCCCCAATAATTTCAAAGCAAACTTCACTTATCAGTGTTGTGCAATACATTATCTTGTAGGACATTTTGCTGTTAAAGTGACTGATGATGTCTTGGTGTGTCTGAAAATGTTGCATGCTAGTGTGCTGTGGAAGGTTGTGCTGGAGGTTGACGGGTTATTCTTTGCCTTGCAGGTTCGCAAAGAGAATGAGTGGTGCGAGGAGAAGTGAAGCTTTCCCGTATTGTCTGGCTCTCCCACAACTTTTTTTTTCTTTGGACATGGAGCGCGCACGAAACGCGGGGGGAAAAAAAAAGCAATCTTCAACTCTCTGTTTGGCTTCCCAAAGTTCTTTTTTTTTACTTTACTTTGCCCATGGAAGGCAGATGCGAACGCGGTTTGTGTTTAGGACCTGCATTTTGTGTTTCTTTGCAGCTTGTGCACCTCAGGTTATGAAACACACGAAAGCCTGGATGTATTCAAACTTCCCTAACCCAATGTACTCAAAGAAAAATTTTTTTTTTTACTTGTGAATATTAGTAAAAAATTTATACTAAGCATGCTGGATTAGTTGTGGTCACTTGCAGGTGTCAAATTTGAGGTTAGTGAAAACTGTGGGAGTATTGCCAGTTGTACATTTTTAGATTGTTTTAGGCACGTCGAGTGACGGGTTGGGACTGGGGCAAACACTATATATAGCACTCTGCTCTCTGGCAGTGTGATCTCTTAAAAACTACCTATTTCAAAGCTTGTTCCTTTCTTGTTTTGTTTTCTGTAGCATGCGAGATTTCCTTTGGTTCGTTGTATTGTCTAGCTCATTCTACAGAGTAAGTAGTATTCAAGATTGTGTTGACAGTTCAGTACATTTGTAAGAAATAAAATGTTTTGAGTTCCTCCCAGTTTCAAATGTCTATTGCTAGTCTTGGGTGGTTTATTTAAGTGGCAACCGTTGTCACATTTTCTCCGCATCCGTTGGCCTGCCTGGGTATTGATAGAGGTTCGACATCCTAGAAGTCTACGAAGTAGGAAAAGACTTGCAAACGAGGGAGGTTGTGGGCCTTAGAAATCATAGAATTTTGAGCTAATAAATCACGGAAACTCCCTTCCTGAAAATATTGGTCTCGCTGCACGGTTTTCCAGATTAGCACACTTGCATACTTTTTCTTGTTGGAGTGTAATTGTCGAATCCTTCGCATGGCAATGGAGGTTTTGCAGCAGAAACGCTTTCGTAATAAAAGTTAAGGTTGGCCTTCTGTTGCTCTTGTCCCCGGAATTGAAATATTGCACTGAAAGTAGGCTGCAGTAAATGTAGCACTTTTTTTTTTCCTTCATACCTGCAGCGGGGCACATGACAAGGCTTTGTTCCACCTGTTATTTGTCATTGTTGGCGTCTGCAAGCTAGCTGAAAGACACAAGGCCCGCCTAACGGCGGTGATGACCCCACCTTCAGTAGTTTACTTTCTTTGTCTCCTCTCCTGCAACTAGATGAGGGCAGAGCAACGGCAAAACATTTAATTGATGCTTGCATCCGTCGTATAGTAGTTGGACATAAAACAAAGAAAACTTTATGCACATTGATTTAGGATGGCTACAGCCAGGAATTGGAGAGACCTCGTGCTTTATGCTTTTTGTAAACTCAGTAGATTTGATTTGCTTATAAGACTACTTTGGGTCTTGACCGGATGTGATAAGAATAAAATGACAGTAACAATGACAACTTGCTGGCATTTTTAATATAAGTACTCTTGCTCAATTCACCCATGAATTAACCAAGCTCAATATGTCTCTAAAAACAGAGGTAATATGACAGTTGTTGTTTTCCTGACGATTTTTCAACACTCGAACAAATACTTGCCTTTTAATGGTGATATCTTTTTGAAGGGGAGATTCCCGAGCTCGTAGCTTCATGTTGGCCAGTTGCTTCTGCTGATCGAGTGTTCGCGGGACTCGTGACCGGTTGCCTGCGGGCCGCGTGTTTGAAACCCCTGTCTTAGAGTTTGACGACGTTGCACTCTGGAAAGTTGCGATTGTGATTTAAAATAAATTTTTGAGTTTTTTTCGAGTGACGGCAACAACGTCCTTGAAAAACGGCAATACTCCCCCCCCCCCCCTCAAAAAAAAAAAAAAAAAATTGCACGAAGTACACCTTGTTTTAAGGCACGCGTATTGATTGAATCTAGATATTTGTGAGACGTTAGTATTTGTTATGAAGAAAGTTTTATGGAATCTGAGTATAGTCATTATCGGCAAATTTGATACAAAATAAGTACAGCTTAAGTAGGCGTACTACTTTCGTCCACAGAGTGACACAAGCAAGACATCCTTGACTAAAGGACGGTAGGGGCATTGTGGGACGTCAGTCGAATGCAGGCGCTAAATGCCGTCAGACGGCATTCTAGACGTTTGTTTTATGGGTGTTTAGTATTGTGTGTGGTAATCTCTGGCTCGCATAAAATCCGTAGCTTCGCGCTCTAGTGTTTCTGTTGGTGTTGGGGTTGCCGTGCGCGGCCGAGTTTGCTCTAGTATTAAATTTAGTTTTGTTTGTTTGTTATCCTGTAATGTCCTCGCCTTTGCAATTTTTTTTTTTTTTTGACCTAGCGTGGCTTGTTTGTTATACTCTGTTTCACCTTGTGTTGTACCGCAGGAAAGGCTACAAGCGCGAGCTCCTTGCTCTAGGGCACATCTCGGCGGCACAATCTCGCGTGCACCAAGGGCAGCTGCATACGCTATGAGCTCGCGCTTCTAGCCTTCGCTGCGGTACAACATAAGGTGAAATGGAGTATAGTCACCGGTACAACCTAGCTCTTCTGTTCTTTTTGAGTAATTTTTTTCGTTTAACCTCAAAGTCTGTCAATATTGTTTTTTTTTTTTAATTATTATTTGTATTTTTTTTATTTGACTTTACTCTGTGAAAGACACGTTGGACAACTTTCAGTATTTTAGAGTGAGGACAGAAAGGGAACGATACACAGTCGGGCCTCGATATCTGTGTAGCCCCCTTCATTCCTAATTCCCCCTTCTCTCTCTGTCTCTCTCTCTCTCTAAAAAAAAAATGTTTTTGTAGTTTACGGAAATATAGTATGTCCGAAAACAAGCCCTGCATTTATATATGGTATCCATGTTTAGCAGTCCCGCATTCTAACAAGGTCACCGCGACATTTTTGCAACATCTTGTAGGTTTTTAAACGAAAGTTTTTGTTGCCGTTCTAGTCACCTGTGTAAAAAAAAAAGCCCGCCGTGAAAGAATACGACGGCTCTCGATTACAGTGACGCATGCCCGGATGCAAAGCTCGCAAATCGTGGACGACGCACAAACGTTTCGGGACCAGCGGCTTGCCGCTGACGAGGAAAGCACTAGTCCTTTTTATTTATACACTATATAATATACACATAGTATAATATACGGATATACACTTGTAAGAGTCAGTTATGGCAGGAAAGCGCGTCCGCAGTGTCTCGAGACTTGGAATAAAATAAGGTACAGTTCAACGACCGATCAACCTACTTGCGCGTACTCTCTCAGTCATATTTTAGTTTTCTTTTTAAACATTCTTTCTGTTCGAAATTCAGAAAATATAAAAGTGAGAAGGGCAGACAGCTCCAAAATGAGTGCACGAGTGTGGAAGCCTCAAATTAAAAAAAAAAAAGCTAAAAAATGCTCTTAAAAAAAATATATATATATATATATATCAAATGAAAAGTACCATCACGAAATACCCCCCAATACCCCCAAAACAAACTCCTTATTTACAGAACCCCGATTACAATAGATGCCCAGGGACACTTGCTGATCAACGCCTACCTTCTGGTTCATTAACGTTGACAATAAATGCAGGCTCTACCTGTTTTCGGTAACAGTAAATTTTTGGCCGTTTATTTTTGCGGATTTTGCCATTTATCTATCCCTTCATCTCCCATAGTTTTCGCTATCATCAACGAAACTTAAAAATACAACTTAGCTCGCGATAGGTAATGCGTGGTGCGTTTGCCGTAATCCAGAGTTCAATAAGAATCAGTTTTAGTGTGCTGTCCGCTATCTCTATCTGGGACTTGCATTCACCTGATCAAGATTAGTTTTACCCAGAAACATCTATCGTTATTTAAAAATCGGCACATGGGAAAGAGATCAGTTGAGGGCGCATCCTTTGACAAGCTGGATTTTTAAAGCCGGAGGTTGCTCGTGGTGACTGGGACAAGAGTTGCCCAAATAAACACAGACGTCCAAGGTTACTCTTTTCTTCCCACTACATGGACTGCCGTGATCACAAAAGGGGAAAAAAAGTTCCTAATATTCTTTGTTATTTTCTTGACTCGACTCTTATTGGCCAACTATGACAATAAGAGGGGGGAGTAGGCAGCGCGGGATGTCACGTGTGAAGGGAAATCTAAAGCCGGCAGTTGACTGGGCGGTCTCTGACGCCCCTCTTCTGTGTGTGGGGTGGTGAGACTGTGTTAAGGTCCGCCAGTCGGTTGTGGTGACGACTTGGTGCGAATTTGGTTTAGCGAAACTGCATTGTCCAAAAGCGAACGCCCGACTCTCTTCTCCCGACCCAGCCCCCCAACCTCTTCAGAGGGGGATAACCACCACTCATGGTCGGATTTGTTTTGTGTGTAGATCGTCTCCACTGTCCCGCAACGTTCTCCGCAACCTGCTACGAGATCTGGGACCCTGCAGGCAAAGCTGGCGTAGCGTGTGCGTAGTAGTGGCGTCTTCGTTTCGGAGAGCGTAGCGGAGGTGGGAACAGAGATTACGAAAACTCCCTAATTACAGCGACCCGGTAGCCGCCCCGTTCCCAAGGCCGACAGAGCGAGCAGGCGCGCTCTTTTACGGCCCTCGAATGAGGGGTTGTTTCTCCCACGCAGCTCGATATGGTGGCTGAGACCCTACCCTTACCGCAGCGCTCTAACTCCTGAGGAGGTATCCCACGCTTCTCAATATTGGCCGCCAGCTTTCTGCCGTTTGAAACACTTCGGCGCACGCGCAGCCAAAGCCCGGCTGCCTCGATGCTTGTATGACCGTACTGCGCTGGCTGAATTTCTCATCTACGAAGGACTCATCTTATAGATTACACTGTTTGCATGCGAGCGTTGTATTTAGTCTACATGCAGGTAACTTAACATCAGCCTGTATTTTGAAATATGCTCACTGACGAACTGATATCCCTATTTAATTGAACCCTTACTCGTATAAAAACAAAAGCAAGACTCCCAAATCACCTTTTTACGATAAGTACATCACCGACACCCGAATCCATGAAGTGCGTTTTATATGGGAAACTATTTTCAAGATGGCTACCACTGCAAATTGTATGTCCCCCCCCCCCCCCCCCCCCCCCCCTCCCCCTGGACTTCGAAGGGATTTATGCCCCTGCACCAGTAGCGGCTACTGGTCGCTGCTAATCACGCCACCGAAGAGAAGTTTCAGCCTGCCTTACTAAACTGACTGACTGGATGCAAGCTTATTTCCATAAAAATAACATGTCTTCACTCAATCTCATTTTAGAAGTATCCTGCATAGCTGTCGACATCCCGTACTCCTGAATAAAAGGTATGTTCTTCCACTTTTGCAGTTGTACGCTGCAATGTCAGACAGGACATCTGTGCTTTTTCACATTTTACTCGAACAGGGTATGGCAATAGTAGTTTCAAATGATATGCTATTAAAATATTCTTTCCAAAATGATCCTGGTATTCACTCTCTTCAAAATGTTGATCGCGACGGGTTAGCCCCCTTGAGTGCGCTTCTCCTGAAGCACTGGTGCACTGCGGAGAAGCAATAGCCGCGGAGTTGACACCGCGGTCTCGCGACTCGCTTCGTTGCAGCGGAGCCGAGCGCCGAGCGCTTTGGCGAAAAACACATCTTCAAAGTGGTCTGGTGCACAAATGCGCCTGGTGTATT